TCCAGCGCTCCAGCAATGATCTGATTCTACAGATGTTTCCTGAAACGTGACAACCTGCAGAGAGAGGCGTGCTGCCAGGTCACGTCCTTTACGGAGTCATATGTCCAAGGAAGGTCCCGCCTTTCTCTCCTTTGATTGGCTGTTTCCTGTAGCAGCAAACCGTCTTCCCTCGCTAAGAGCAGACTGTCCTCCGGCCAGCAGCAGAGCAGCTATTTGGGAGTTTTGTGAGAAAATGCTGACTTACAAACGGCTGCTTTGGGCCCTGGCAGGATGGGCTGGGGTCTCCATGCCCTGGGTGGCATTTTGGCAACAGAGGTGCCTATTGGGGCCAGTAGGGGAGCTGGCTCCCTGGAGGGCTAAGCCCAACCAGCCATTCCTCCCCATCCCCACACATTTCTCTCCTCCTGCTCCCTCACATCATCACACAAGCATACACATAGGACCTTGGGGGGTGGACCCCATTTCCGTATTCCTGTGGCAACCTGCACCCCCCCCCCCCCACCCCCCCAATTTTATTTGCACCTTATACACTTCCACTGATGACATTCCACACAAACACACACTTAGGGCCTTGGGAGTGAGCACATTCAACGGCATTTGGCAGGGGGATTTCTCAGCCTCCTCCCGGGTGCCGGTGCCCACTTCCAATTTTAAACTGTACTTAGACACCGAGGGCTGTGGGTGCAAGTGCGGTGGTGCGGGCATCAGCTGGCATAGGCCAGCTGATGCCCGCACTGCCCGCTCACCACAGCCATGGAATACACCTCATCAACACTCACTAACACCATATTGGAGCAGGTGGAGGGAGACTAGGGGTCTTAGCACACCTCTGTTGTTGCTTGGCTTCCTGGGGCTGGAGGCTAGGAGGGAGATCTGGCCGTCTGGTTGGGGTCTGGGGTGGTGGGTTGCTGTGCTCAGCGTTGGGCGGGGGAGCCTGCTCATCAGCACCCCAGCAGAAAGGGTCTAACTCTGGTAACCGGTGATGGTGTACCCCATGTGCAGCAGTACCGGGACCAGAGTGAATAGGGTGTGTATGGGGAGCATGAGTGGGTGTCCGGCGTGCACTTTTGTAAGTCTTTGGTTGTATGTGCATGTGTGAGCATGAGGGAGGGAGTGTGTGACTGTGTTTGTGTATGACTGTATATGTCAGGTGGGGCCTTTGACTCCTCCCCTCTCCTGGAACTTCTTTTGATCATATACATCTTCATCTCCCCTCCCCCTGCCACACCTGGTGTGGGGTGTAGTGCCTTGGTCTGCCTGAGTGTTCGTGGCAACCGGGTCAGGGGGTTTAAGATTTTTGGCATCTGCCTGATCAATCCTGGTGGCTACCTGGTGAGGTCTGGGTCCCTGGGCTCTGCTGGGTCCCCAGCGGGGGTGGTCGACCCTGGGTCCCGGGTCATTGGGTCCCAGGCTCGGCCGGCTAGGGGGTGGGAGGCTGTAGACGGCCCTGTGGGCTTGCCGCTGATATCTCCCGGGACTCTGCCGGCTGCTGGTTGTGGCCCCCCGGGGTGATCCTCTGTGCCTCTTGAGGGGGGCGGGGGCCTTTCTGGTTGCAGTCTCCTTGGGGTTCCTGTGTTCTGGGGCAGCGCCTGGATCTCTGGGACTTGGAGCTCCCCCGGTCTCCTACGCATCTTTGGGGGGCAGATCTGTGGTCCCTCACACTCTCTGTTGGACGCTCCTATAGAGAAACCTTACATAAACAAGCGCGTGTACACACACGGTGCTCTCATAAGTATGGGCTTGGGCACTTTCAACATGTCTTAAGGCTGTGGTTGCCACTAAATGCACTGTGTTTTATTATCATGATTGTTCAGTTAAACAATGTTGATTTTATATTTCATCATCAGGTTGACGCGGTGATAGCTTGCTCCTGATGTATTGTTGTGTGTCCCTTTTCTGCAGGTCTAAAAGCAGACTCTTGTTCATCATTGATTGTTTATTTAACCCTAACCCTAACTGGTGAAAATAAATCATAATCAGCTTCAAATGATATTTTGATGAAATGATACACATTAGACCAGATGATGAGAGAGCCTTAGCAGCCTTAACCTAGCCACTAGTGAAGACACAAGAGCCAATAAGATAACCCAACAGATGTGAAGTCAGTCAGATAAGTGCAACAAGATTTTTTTCACATTTGAGGCTTTTCATGTCCTTTTATGAAAGAACTGAAACTGGTTTGTTGCTAAACAGGACAAACTGGTTATTACATCACAAAACTCACATTTTCTTCAGGATCTGGCAGCAGATATAAAAACCCTGCAGACGGTTTGCTACTACATGAAATAGCCAATCACAGGTGAGAATGGCGGGACACTCCATGGACATCCTACGATTCCCAATGATGCTGCCAGGTCTGAGTGGTTTCCAATCCAAGATGGCCGCCGCTGCTACCCGACTTCAGCAGTGGTAACAGACCATGTGAGAATACTCTAAAGCAGTAATGATGCAGTTATGAGCACCTTGGAAAGCAGGTGGGTCTGGCTGCAGCCCCCTGAGCCGGAGACATGGAGCTGCTGTGGTCGGGTCACCTGCTGGTTGGATGGAGAACCATTGCCTCCTCCAGCAGCCCGGTTGCATCAGCTCATCTTGTGAATAATGCAGAGTCATGAATAAACATGGAGCAGTGTGGTGTATTACTGTAAAAGAGAACCGTCTCTGTCTTTGTTCCTCTGCTCTCTCGTGTCCCGCCTCCATTTAACCTCCACTCCGGTCTCTTTCTGGTTTTCTCTTTTCCCACCACAGGAACGCTCTTTCTTCTGTTCCTGCTAAAACCAAACACTCCCACTTTCCCCCACCTCTGTCACTCCTCTTCTCCTCTCTGGTCGCGGTGCTGACACACATTGTGGTGCTCTAGTGTCTCAGCACCACCTGGTCGGGCCCTGCCTTCACTCTTTGCTCAATAGCTGCTGGGTTTCCTCAAAGGCAGCCATCCAGCCAGCACAAAGCCTGCCCACTGGGAGAGCGCGGGGGTTTGGGGGGGTTGCTGCTTTTGCTCTGCTCCATCTGAAGCGGCCAGCCTCCTCCACCTTCTATAAATAATACAGTACTGCCTCAAGCCCTGCTCCTGCTGCAGCCTCGCTGATCAGGAACAGACCTCCACCCAACAGCTGACACAAACCTGAACACCTCAGGTCGGTCAAGAATCTGATGGGACCACAAAACCTCTGAAATAGTAAGACCTACGTAGAGATGTCCACCCAAAATGCACTGCAGCATATTTAGAGAAGCCCTAACAGCTGCTCCAGCCGTCAGCATGGAGGTGGAGGGCTGATGGTTTGGGCTCCTGTCAGTCACTGAGTCCACCATGAACTTGGGTCAGAAACAAGTACCATGATCCAGACACATCAGCAGATCTACAACAGAACCAAGGTTCTGCTGATAGACTAGACCAGACTGGATTGGGGCAGATGAACTTAGCTTCGACAATTTCTGATTTCTGAGATGAATTCCATAACATTTAGGTTTTTGTTAAACAAACATGACTTGTTCAGTGGTTATTTCATAGTGTAACGTAATGCCTACAACCCCCCCCCCCCCCCCCACACACACGCATATATATATATATATATATATATATATATGTAACGTCCAGCAATGATCAGTGTTTAGGTACAGTTTGACCGTTCAACATCTGGTCAACATCTGGTCAACATCTGGTCAACATCTGGTCAAAAGGGAGACACGAGACTGCACGTGTTCCCTTTAAAATGGCCTGCCTTCATCCTATCAGCTGGAGCTCAGAGCCTCTCTGCAGCTCTGAACACGTGATAACGAATCTTATCGTCCTACAGGACTCTTCATGCCTCCATATAAGGAACACTCGCAGCTCGGATTAGATGTTAAATCAAAGAATGATTTCCTAAATTAAATATGAACTTCTACAACTTATAAGTTAAATAATCATTAAATAAACGTTTGTTTATTGCTACTTATAATAATTATAATATAATGAAATGTTTCATTAATCTGTGCTCAATGACTGAAGTGTGAAATGAATGTTATGTTATGATTACAGTGATTGAAACATGTTTCAGCGTGTTAATATGACGAGGTCGTCACCATTTGCACTCACACAAGGACAAAGTAAAGTTAAACTCTGACACACAGATAGTCCTTTACCCAGATCAGAGCCTCCGGATCAAAGAAGAACTTGAGAAAGCCCGGAGAGTGAAGACATCGTGATGCTCGTGGTCATCGGGGCGGTGACCCCCAGACTGGAGTGTACAGTCGGTAAAGACGGCTCTCCCTTGCCCTGCCTCCAACATGCCTCCATCTAAAAGGCTAGGTTATCCAGAGTTATCTCTGTAGTTATGCTGCTATAGGCTTAGACTGCTGGAGGACACACTGACCACTTTCCACACTCGACTACATTCACTGCTGCTAACCACTTAAACATTCTCCCTCTCCTGATAATAACTTTTTGCTCTCTTTGACGTTGGATGTGCTACTACTAGTTTACCCGTTTAATTATAGATCCACTAGGATAAATACAATAAAGTTCATCTCTCACCTACTGTAATAGAATATTTACTAAGACATCACAATGTAACCTGTGTGTGTGTGTGTGTGTGTGTGTGTGTGTGTGTCTGTGTGTGTGTGCGTGTGTGTGTGTGTGTGTGTGTGTGTGCGTGTGTGTGTGTGTGTGTACGTGTGTGTGTGTGTGCGTGTGTGTGTGTGTGTGTGTGTGTGTGTGCGCGTGTGTGTGTGTACGTGTGTATGTGCGTGTGTGTGTGTGTACGTGTGTGTGTGTGTGTGTGTGTGTGTGTGTACGTGTGTATGTGCGTGTGTGTGTGTGTACGTGTGTGTGTGTGTGTGTGCGTGTGTGTGCGTGTGTGTGTGTGTGTGTGTGTGCGTGTGTGTGTGTGTGTGTGCGTGTGTGTGCGTGTGTGTGTGTGTGTGTGTGTGTGTGTGTGTGCATGTGTGTGTGTGTGTGTGTGTGTGTGTGTGCGTGTGTGTGTGTGTGTGTGTGCACCTCCTGCATGGTAAAGACCACACACCTGTCATGCAGCTGTGTGCAGGATGCCGCCCCGGGTCAGTGCTTGCTGCCAGACGAGGCCTTGCCGTGGCTGTTCTTTCGTGCGCACACGTGAATGCTGTCGCCGCTCTCCGTCTGCAGCTTGACGTTTGGTACCGTGAAGACAGAAGACACTGCAGGGGAACAAGATGCACACACTTCACCAGCAAGAAGAAGGTTTCTACTGCTGATTTATCTATAACTTCATAATTATGTGAATATGTATTTGCTGCGGCTCACATGTCAGTGGTTTAATGTCTATGATGGGATGTATTTAGCTGCTTGATGACGACCTCGCCTTTCAGCGTTTCACCGTCTGGGTCACACGGCTAGGAGGATTAATACTCCTACCTTAGACCCTTCCACACCAGGCTTAGGCAGAAACCTGACGTTACTGAACAGAGTCGACCGAGGGCTTCTGATCCCATCAGAATCACCAGAAACACATCTCATCATTTCTTTTAAACGCTGGACTCCAGCAGCAGAAAACCTCTCCTCTCAGATCGACCCTCACACAAGTCACACCATTCTGCTCTAAACAGGACCTACAAATGATAAAAATCATTGTGAACACTTTGATGTTTGACTGCATCACCAGGACATCAGGCGTTAGTCTCAGTGGGCCGTTTGCTGCAGCGACCCTAACCCTCCGTTCATCTCCAAGATCTTGGAAAAGGTTGTGGCTAAACAACTCACAGCTGCTCTTGATGAACATAACATCTATGATAGCTTCCAGTCAGGTTTTCGTAGAGCTCATTCTACTGAAACAGCTCTTCTTAGGGTCTCTAATGACCTTCTGACTCACAGTGATGCAGGGGACTGTTCTGTTCTGGTCCTGCTGGACCTGACTGCAGCCTTTGACACTGTTGACCATCACCTGCTACTGGAGAGGCTGAGAGACTGGGTAGGCCTATCAGGGTCTGCTCTGGAGTGGTTCTCCTCTTATCTCTCTGAGAGCTCCTTTTCTGTGGCCGTCTCCAAGTTTAGGTCCTCCACCACCTCTCTTACCCATGGTGTCCCACAAGGTTCTGTGCTGGGGCCTCTGCTCTTCCTCCTCTATCTGCTTCCTCTTCAGCACATCCTGAGCTCCTTCAAAGGAATCTCCTACCATCTTTATGCAGATGACATCCAACTGTACATCTCCTTTAAGCCCCATGAGATGTCTAAGCTGCAGCTGTTACACACCTGCTTAGACTCTATCAAAACCTGGATGGTGGGAGCTTTCTTCAGCTGAATGAAGATAAGACTGAGACCCTCATCTGTGCCCCAGACAAGCTGGTTCCCAAAGTCAGAGACTCTCTTGGTCAGCTTGCTTCTCACACCAAACCTTCTGTCAGGAATCTTGGCGTGACCTTTGACCCAGCTCTCACCCTGGATTCTCATGTCAGTTCTCTTGTTGGCTCTTCCTTCTTCCATCTCAGGAACGTTGCTAAGCTGAGTCCCATTCTGTCCCGCTCTGAACTTGAGACAGTTCTCCACACCTTCATCTCCTCACGCTTAGACTACTGTAACTCTCTTTTCACGTGTCTGAGCAGAACCTCCCTGAACCGTCTACAGGTGGTTCAGAACGCCTGTGCTCGGCTTCTGACCAAGTCCTCCAAACACACCCACATCACCCCGCTTCTCCTCCAGCTTCACTGGCTGCCAGTCAACTTCAGGGTTCATTTCAAGATCCTGGTTCTGGTCTATAGGGCCTTACATGGACAAGCACCATCTTACATTGGTGATCTTCTCAGTCCCTACACCCCCAGCAGGTCCCTGAGGTCCAGTGATCAAAGCCTACTGAGCCTACTCCCCCAGAGCCTGAGATCAGTGGACTCGGTGGTCTCCTTTAAACTAACCTGTTCAGGCTTTTGTATGACCTTCTTCACCTCTCTCTCTTTATTCTGCTCTCCCCACCTATTCCACCTTCCTCAGGATCCACTGATTTCCCTCTTTCCTGTTCACTCTCTCTCTTTCTTTACGTTTTTAATCACAATTGTCTATTTTTGCTCATTTTAAATATATTATTAACCATTTTCTAAACGCTTTTTTATATTTTTACATGTTTTGTTTTTGTGAAGCACCTCGTGATTTTTATCGTGAGAGGCGCTATAGACATGATTTCTCCTCCTTCTTCTCCTTCTTCTCCTTCACACACAGGGTTAACCCTAACCCTCAGCGCTTGTGTTGTGAACGAAAACACAACCCTAACCACCGATGAGCTCAGATGTGAAAAAGCAGCAACAAGATCAGAAGGAGACTCACTGAAGGGTTTCAGCCCATTTAGTAGATATTCAGATGAAAGTAGTGAAGCTTGTTAAATGACACACACTCAGACTCACTTAAAGATATCGGCCAGAGGCAAAATTCCTCTGAACAGTGTGTGTAAAGAAGTATTAAAACCTCAGATGAAAAAGGTTTTTGGATTTTCACGGCTGGAATTTAAAGAAAATCTGATATTTGTGACCGGCGCGGGAAAAACAGAAGCTAACTTCCGGTCTAAGCCCTGGGCAGCTGGTGACGTTTCACATGGAGCTCTGCTGAATCAGCTGTAGTAAACAACGCCTGACTCCGGTGTTTGTGCGTTAGCGTTATAGCAGAACAACGTTTCATCAGTCAGATGTAGCTTCTGAAGCCTCTGCTAGTCGCTCACATTTGGTTTTTCTCTGGGATACGGCGAGCAGAACGGATTACCGGAGACGTTCAACCGAACTCCGTGCCCTGCAGCTGGATATCAGAACCGGAGGTGCAGACATGCTTTGGACCGTTTCACTCAGAAAACCTGCTGCCCGATTAGGACACCGGGGATGATTCTGTTGTCTTCAGAACCAAAACCGGTACAGTTTGTTAAAGTTTGTTAAATATTTCATGTCTGCTCCACCGTAGCTTTCAGTTAAGTTCTCAGCTGATTAGCTCCATCATGTTGTCCCAAAACAATTCAGTCATCTACAGACGAGTGAACGTGTTGCCAGCTTCACCGCTGGGTGTATTTATTAATATAACATCGGAAAATATTTAGCCGATTGCTTACCAGAATAAATCTTCCTGATGCTAACTCGCTAGCTCGGTTCGTTGTTTTCTAATCCAGGATGACACGGAGGTTCTACCGGTCCTATAGGAGGTTCTACCGGTCCTATAGGAGGTTCTACCGGCCCTATAGGAGGTTCTACCGGCTCTATAGGATGTTCTACCGGCCCTATAGGAGATTCTACCTGTCCTATAGGAGGTTCTACCGGTCCTATAGGAGGTTCTACCGGCCCTATAGGAGGTTCTACCAGCCCTATAGGAGATTCTACCGGTCCTATAGGAGGTTCTACCGGCTCTATAGGAGGTTCTACCGGTCCTATAGGAGGTTCTACCGGCTCTATAGGAGGTTCTACCGGCCCTATAGGAGGTTCTACCGGTCCTATAGGAGGTTCTACCGGTCCTATAGGAGGTTCTACCGGCCCTATAGGAGGTTCTACCGGTCCTATAGGAGGTTCTACCGGTCCTATAGGAGGTTCTACCGGTCCTATAGGAGGATCTATTGTTGAAAAATTGGGATCATCTTTTAGATTGTGTGTGTGTGTGTGTGTGTGTGTGTGTGTGTGTGTGTCGTAGCTTTCACAAATGACTTGTTCTTTACCGGAGCTAACACGGTTAGCGCTGCGGCAGTCGTGCTAACGGGACTTGCCTGCTGGAGTCCAGAAGTACCGGTGCGGTTCTAGATGGATTCATAGATGTAGGTTATTATTTTGGATCAAACCTGTTAGTTAAAAACTAGGGCTGGGACTTTAACGCGTTAATTCTGATAAATTAATTAGAAAAAAATAACGCATTAAAAAAATAACGCATTTAATCGCAGCTTGCATTTCAAGCACGGCGGAACCTTTGTCATTGCACGATTTCCTCGTAGACTGAATATCACTGACGCACACAACAATGCACAGTGCTACTGGCTACTAAAACGGAATAAAAACAGAAAGAAGTTGCCTTGCTTGGACTGATGCAGGATTTAGGAAACACACCGCCTCTTTTCTTAACTTGGAAAAACAACTTCCAGACAACAACGGAGTCCGTGTCGCGGACATTTTTTAGAGATCGTCTCTGCTGCGGCTGCCCGGTGGCACCGGAAACTTTACAAAAGTTGCGGTAAGCTATATTTTTATCATTTACGTAACATCTGTGCAGCGCTGAAAGCACCAGACAGAATAATTCTGTGCCCTAACAGTAGTTTATGAAAGTAGTCAGACAAACGTGACATCAGGACTTCCCATGTAAGGAAGGTCCGCTCACCTGTTCGTCAGATCATTATTTCCTCGCCATGATCTTTTATCTTCCCATCATCCTCCAGTCATCCAACTGGAACCGGTTAGTGTTCCTGATCATTCTCAGAATATGCCACGCCTGCTCTGGTGTTAAAAGTTAGTACATTTAAGTCCTAGATCATATTTGTGCCTGTTCTACTGTCATTTTGAAGGATTATTATTTATATGTGTGTTTTTACTGCATTATGAGTAGAAATGCTAATACTCCCAATTATACAAACAAGTGAAACTGGAAAAATTTGAATCTGGTGCAAAGTAAAATTTATTTCAGTCATTCAACTAGACAGAGAGACTATTTAAAGGCTCAGGAACCCTTTGCAGGTGTTTTCTATTTGTAATTATAAATTTTAGTTTAATTGGGTTTTGTTTCATATCACACAGTGACATTTGAATAATTAAAATGCATTTTTTATTAAAAGCTTTAGTTTAAAGTAATAACCATGTCTAATGTTTGATTCTCTGTCTCATAATTTTTATTAAAAGTTTTGCTTTGAGAGCACATTTTCCTGAACGATTAAAATTTAGATTAATTAATTAGAAAGCCTCTAATTAATTAGATTAATTTTTTAATCAAGTCCCAGCCCTATTAAAAACACGTGTAGGACACGGACATGTAGCTCAGACCTTTAGCTGCAGCTGTAAACACAATTTTCTGTTTTAATTAGGAACACGATAGTAAACACAATTCATTGATTTACCATGCTAGCAACAGCAGCTAGCTAGTATGATGTGCGTGAGTGACGTGTGCAAAACACGGTTCTTCACTGCCTGAAGGAGAACATTTTGATTTTATGTAAAGACTTATGACTAAATTCCTTAAAGGTGCATTATGGAAGTGTGACAGC